GAGGCCCCTAACATGGGTTGGTCTAACATTCATGCTGAAATATCCGCATATTCCCCCCCCCCCCCCTTCTTCACCTGTTGCACGACAGATTAAGACGGTGAGGCATTCGAAGAGTTGATGTGGAATTCATCAAGTCCGTAGAATTCAACTAATGGTCCTTAACGTTTCTGCGATTTTTTCTTCACATAGGTGCTAGTGATCTTTGAATCGGGTGCTAATCTCCCTTGACGTGGGTGCTAATCTCCCTTGACGTGGGTGCTAATCTCCCTTGACGTGGGTGCTAATCTCCCTTGACGTGGGTGCTAATCTCCCTTGACGTGGGTGCTAATCACCCTTGACGTGGGTGCTAATCTCCCTTGACGTGGGTGCTAATCTCCCTTGACGTGGGTGCTAATCGTCCTTGACGTGGGGTGCTAATCTCCCTTGACGTGAGTGCTAATCACCCTTGACGTGAGTGCAAATCGCCCTTGACGTGGGTGCTAATCTCCCTTGACGTGAGTGCTAATCGCCCTTGACGTGGGTGCTAATCGCCCTTGACGTGGGGTGCTAATCTTCCTTCTCCTGGTCAGAGCTTCTGGCCTTCTGGCAAAATGCTCGCAAAAGAGAGAGAGCGAGAGATTAAGAATGAAGCTTTTTAACGACACGAGTTTCGCGCCCTCGCCTCTGACGAGCCGGGAACAGGCGGGGTTAAACGAGGTCATTACGGGTCATAGGTCAGGTCGCAGGGACAGCTTGTGAAGTCAAGTTAGTGGGGGGGGGGGGGTCAGATCAGAGGGGGAGGGAGGTTAGGTCAGGTTAGTTTTAATCAAGCCACCACATATAAGGTCAAGGGTTGAGTTTTGACTCAAGATTCGGTGGTTAGAGGTCATAACACAGAACCAAGAGTCAGGTCACAAGATCGTGAGTCAGGTCACGGGGCTTGGAGAGGTGATTTAACTCGACTCAGAAACAATAACAAGAATTCTAGAATTTTGACCTTTCAAAATTTCCCCAATTTCCAAATTGGGGAATTTCCAAAATTTCAAAGTGTGTGTGTACTCACCTAATTGTACTTGCGGGGGTTGAGCTCTGGCTCTTTGGTCCCGCTTCTCAACTGTCAATCAACTGGTGTACAGGTTCCTGAGCCTACTGGGCTCTATCATATCTACATTTGAAACTGTGTATGGAGTCAGCCTCCACCACATCACTGCCTAATGCATTCCATCTGTTAACTACTCTTGACACTGAAAAAGTTCTTTCTAACGTCCCTGTGGCTCATGTGGGTACTCAGTCTGCACCTGTGTCCCCTCGTGTTAAAATGTTTATCCTTATCTACCCTGTCAATTCCTCTGAGAATTTTGTAGGTCGTGATCATGTCTCCTCTGTCTTCCAGTGTCGTGAGGTGCATTTCACGCAGGCTTTCCTCGTAACTCATGCCTCTTATGGGACCTAAAAGTGTGTGCTCACACACACTTTTCTTTTATCAGTGTCTACGCCTAATTCATCAACTATTCGTTAGAATTGTTTGTATTCGTGATAAATAAATCGTGATATTTATCACGATGTGAATATTTTAATTAAATAATACATATTGTAATATTTAATGTCTGACATATTCTACTTTAGGCAGAGTTAATAATCAAACTATTTAGGTGAGATTCCTAAGTAGTGAAAAAAATAATAGAAAAAGGTTTGTCGTAAGTGTTGAAGTGAATATGTATTTAATTGATGTACATATATATAAAATTCGATTACTCAAGGTATATTGATCGAACGTTCGATCAACAGAGTCAATAAAGACAATTCAAGAAAGAAAAGAAAGCCGAACAAGCAGAAAATGAAGCATGTGAAAGGGTTCAATTTCGCGACAATACCACTAATATGGAAGGAAGGTGAAATTGGAAAAGTTTCTGTGCGCAAGTGGAAAGTTTGGATAAAAAGATAACGTTTTAGCTGTGTCCGGTTAACATCAGTATTAGTTCTCCGGAATGAGATAACCGGCCATAACTTATAAACCTCCCATAACCCAGTTTTTCAGCTTTGCTCCTACTGGCTTACCTAGGCTTAAGCTTTAAGCCTTCACAAACATCAGAAACATTGTGCAAGCTGTTTTTAGGATTTGGTTGGACTTGTGTTAGGCTCGACTTAAAAGATCTATACAATAATATTTTGTATTCAATTACAATAAAAGTTAGACTTGTTTAGGTTCAAGATTAGATTTTCAAACAAACATAGATTTGCATCGACATTCTGTTGTTACTAACTTTCCTTTCAAACTCTTGCCAATAATTTCTCTTCTCTGCACAGAACCTGTTAGCTGAACAACAAAGCGTTCTTCCATACCTCCAGAAAGCCTATTGCTGCATATCTGGGCCGCCCCTATTAATACCCACCCAAACTCATACAAATATATGTCTAACCTACGCTTGAAACAATCAAGGTATCCAACGTCTATTATGTTACCAGGTAATCTGTTTTAGGTTTTCCAAAATCTGAACCTTTTCCCTAAAATATATCCATTTTTCGTGTTCTGTTTTATTAATGTTAATATATTTAATACCTTATCTCTTATATCTCTTTTGTTTTACCCATTTATCCGCATCAGTCACGATATATCTAACTCTACGCCTTTCCATAGGATTCCAATGAAGCTTTTTCAATCTCTCTTCACATGGAATTTTTCTAATTTGCCGGCAAATTAGTGGAACATGTTCCGCTCCACCAATCCCATAAATCACTCACCAAACCGTTTCTCTTGATGACTAGAATTTAATAATAATAAACTGTTTTCAGGTAGCCAGTGTATATGTACATGTTAGGCTTACATCAGGGTCCCCAAACCCCCCTGAGGTTGAACTACAGACCTCCACCCCCCAACTCCTCCCAGGATGCAACCCCACAACAAGTTGGGGTTGCTAACTAAAGTTGACTGAGTTAGTCAACCTAAAATTGACTAACTCAGTCAACTTTACACACGTCAATTAGTCAACCTAAAGTGTACCTAAAGTCAACCTAAAGTTGACTAACTCAGCCAACTTTAGGTTGACTAACTTAGTGGCTTTAGGTATTAGTATGTACTAGCTCTGTCTATAACTAATCTGAAGAATTGTAACTGCATCTATGTATGTACTTTTCCTAAAATATTATTTTAAAATATAAAAAAAATATTATTTTTATTATTAACTCAGATATCATTCTGTAAATCAGTATTGTCTAGCTTTCCTGCCTCGCTGCCTCCGGTAGATATTTTTTTAATATTTTATGTCTTCCTAATGCAATCTTATTTGTATTAAATAATTGTGATTAAGTAAATAATCAGTTATCTTTCATTAATTTTATTTGCCAAAAATTTCATTGAAATACAAATATAAAAGAAACACATGAAGAAATATTATGTACAATATTACAAGAAACAGACATTTCTATCTTAGTCTTCTTCTCCTAAAGGAATATGCCATCATTTTATTCCACCATAGAATAGGCAGTTGATAATGCAAAAGTAACCATTGAAACCATGTAAGTTTTGTACCTGGATTTTAGCAAAGCTTTTGATACATTTAGGACTTGTTGACCAATCCACACGCTAGAAAATGAAGGACGACGTTTTCCGTCCTGGATCATTCTCAAGTCGAAGTCAAGGCCTTCTCCTAAATTCAATACACTTCATTAGCACATGTCCAAATAAAAACCGTAAAAGTAGGCGGGGAGGTGAGCAGACTTTACCGTCTAACCTGGCTGCTGTGCTCTCTCCAAGCACGAATGGTCTCCTGGAGGTCGTGGAGGCTGGTGGGAGGTGAGCAGACTTTACCGTCTAACCTGGCTGCTGTCCTCTCTCCAAGCACGAATGGTCTCCTGGAGGTCGTGGAGGCTGGTGGGAGGTGAGCAGACTTTACCGTCTAACCTGGCTGCTGTGCTCTCTCCAAGCACGAATGGCCTCCTGGAGGTCGTGGAGGCTGCTGAAGGAGCCGTCGCCCAGAGGGACTCGAGTGAAGGGATCGGACGGGGGGGACGTGAGCAGCAGGCGGACGAGGGTCGACTTGTCGACCACCATTTTAGAGGAGTGGAGCAGCATCGGCGCCTCCATCACCGCCTGCGTCATGCTGTCTAGGAACTCCTGCGGGACCTCTGACGACTCTGAGGACTCCTGCTGACACGGTGCTGGGAAATGATGGAAGGTCTCGGCTGCCTTCTTGTTCAGTACACATAGATACTCCCGGTGTTCAAGTCGCAGAACCTGAGACACTGACTTGGATCTCTCCTGTTCTGATATCGTTTTGTAAATATTATCTAAACAAAAGACGACCGAACTGTAACTCCTTTTATTCTTAAATTCTAACTCTAACAATGAGCCGAATGTGACTATGGAAGTGGTGATAGCCATGAGGCAGGCTGCAGAAGCCTGAGCCAGGCCGGGGGCGCCATAGGCCACCATGGTGGGTAGTGTAACCATCAACATATTGTATAGATACAAAACATTCCGAAGCACAAATGAAGCAGTGTGTTCCCGGTAGCGACCTATGCGATACCCGCGCACACCGGCCTCAGCACTTGCCTCTAAGACCTGCAGTAGATGGTTGAAAAAGAATGTTTCTGGACCAATCTCGAGTTTCATTACCTGACGCACGGCTGCGGCTGCAACCTCGTCTAAGTGGCCACAGTTATTAAGTTTACTTAACAAATTTGCAAAAGAGTAAAACATATTCATCTGATGTCTGTTGCCGGGCATAAGATGTTCATAATTGATGTATAAACTATTCCTCACCAACCCCGCGGCTGCCCGAGTACCCGAAGCGGCATCCTGGTAGAAGTTCTCGGGCAAAATGCTGACTAAACGAATCATTTCGAGACGCAGGAACGGGTTGGGACACAGTTCAGGGTCCGTGAACACCGCCAGTATCCAGGACTTCAAAGGCGTAGACTCCAGTGAGCTCAAGTCCATGTCGTCGCTTTCCCTCCAACTCTTTACTAGGGAAGTAATTCTCCAGAGGACATTTTCCCATTTCCCGGTCAGCTTCTCCGACATGGTTGTCATACGCGAGGAAAGACATAAAGCGAACAATATTCCAAGCTGTAATTTGCTGGCCATCAAGTCTCCATCTGAATTGGCACGATGCAAGAGAGTAAGATCGAAGATTGACATCTCAATAACGTGTAACATATGATCCCCAGACACCCCCGGAGGGAGCATCATCACCTGGGACAAGATGACAGGTGGGACTCGTAGAAAAGAATAAGCTTCAATTGGTAGTGCGGCGTCCATAGTCTAGAAAGGAGTGAACCAAGACAGGACCAGAGAGATATTATTCTGACGCGCAACCACAGGCAGGTTAGTAAGTGGTGAGCGCTGATGTTGATGTGTAACCCAGGGGAGGAAGATGTTTAGAGTGATTGATAAGATCGATTGTATAGAGTATATAGGTGTATACTGGCCCTGGCCAGTAGTGGGTTAAGGTGACGTGAAGGTCCGGGAGAGTGAGGTGTATATGCAGGCTGCTTGTCCCTGCCTAGCTTGTCTGTTCTAGTGCTTGAAATGCTTTCTCGAGTATCTTGCTGAAGATCCCTATTAAGGAGGCCTTGGGTAAATACTGGTTCGGTAACAGCGTTGTTGATCTGTGGAACCAATTACCGTGTAATATAATAGAGTAGGATCCCTTGATTGTTTCAAGAGTAGGTATAGACATATATATGAATGAAATTGGGTAGTTACAGACTCCGCTCCTGTGCCAGGTAAGTCCACTACGGGTTCACCATTGCCCGTGCTACTTGGAACTTGTTCCGAGTAGCTGAATCTATAACAACAACAACATAGTTACAGATAGAAGCTGCCTCGTATGGGCCAATAGACCTTCTGCTGTTACCTTCAGTCTTATATTCTTATGTTCTTAGGGAGGCAATAATCATTGGAACCGTAGTCACTTGTACTCCTGTGGATGCCTTTTTCCCGGTAGGTGGAGAGGCTGAAGAATGCTGACACAATGTAAGGTTTAATGCTGACACAATGTAAGGTTTAATGCTGACACAATGTAAGGTTTAATGCTGACACAATGTAAGGTTTAATGCTGACAAATGTAAGGTTTTGAGGCTAGGTAATGATGATAGAGTTATAAGATACGAGGTAAACGGTGTTGAGATTGTGAAGTCGGACTGTGAAAAGGATTTGGGAGTTATGATTAAGAGTTATGCTATTAAACAAAGCACAGGAACGTAGTATACCATACAAATTGAATAGATCGTATACTAATGACCCAAAGTGGATAACAAAGAATTTGAAGAACCTTATAGGTAAAAAGAGAGCTTGGTACAAAAGGATTAAAAATGGGGAGGTCACTTTAGAACAGGAATTCGTACAACTGGTTAGAAATGTTAAAACATAAGAACATAAGAACAAAGGCAACTGCAGAAGGCCTATTGGCCCATACGAGGCAGCTCCTATTAATAACCACCCAATCCCACTCATATACTTGTCCAACCCATGCTTGAAACAATCGAGGGACCCCACCTCCAGCACGTTACGCGGTAATTGGTTCCACAAATCAACAACCCTGTTACTGAACCAGTATTTACCCAAGTCTTTCCTAAATCTAAACTTATCCAATTTATACTCATTGTTTCGTGTTCTGTCTTGTGTTGATATTTTTTAATACCCTATTAATATCCCCCCTGTTATGTCCATTCATCCACTTGTAAACCTCTATCATGTCACCCCTAACTCTTTGCCTTTCCCACTCTGACTTAACCCCATTTATACTAACTCACTGTTTCCTTTGGAATAGCCATGCCCTAATCCAAGTTAATATAGCACCCCCAATACCATGAGCTTCTATTTTTTTAATTAGTCTTTCATGTGGCACTGTATCAAAAGCTTTGCTAAAGTCAAGGTACACAACATCACAATCCTTACCACTATCAACTGCCTCAACTATGCTGGAATAAAAAGTTAGCAAATTTGTTAAACATGAACGGCCATTTGTAAAACCATGTTGCGACTCATTTATTAATTTATGTTTTTCAAGATGGAGACGAATTGTATTTGCAATTATTGATTCAAGTAACTTTCCCACAATAGACGTTAGAACATAAGAACATAAGAACAAAGGTAACTGCAGAAGGCCTATTGGCCCATACGAGGCAGCTCCTATTCTATAACCACCCAATCCCACTCATATACTTGTCCAACCCGTGCTTGAAACAATCGAGGGACCCCACCTCCACAATGTTACGCGGCAATTGGTTCCACAAATCAACAACCCTGTTACTGAACCAGTATTTACCCAAGTCTTTCCTAAATCTAAACTTATCCAATTTATATCCATTGTTTCGTGTTCTGTCCTGTGTTGATACTTTTAATACCCTATTAATATCCCCCCGGTTATGTCCATTCATCCACTTGTAAACCTCTATCATGTCACCCCTAACTCTTCGCCTTTCCAGTGAATGCAACTTAAGCTTTGTTAATCTTTCTTCATATGAAAGATTTCTAATTTGGGGAATTAACTTAGTCATCCTACGCTGGACACGTTCAAGTGAATTTATATCCATTCTATAATATGGCGACCAAAACTGAACTGCATAATCTAAATGGGGCCTAACTAGAGCAAGATATAGCTTGAGAACCACACCAGGTGTCTTGTTACTAACGCTGCGATTAATAAATCCAAGTGTCCGATTTGCCTTATTACGAACATTTATGCATTGATCCTTTTGTTTTAAATTCTTACTAATCATAACTCCCAGATCCCTTTCGCAATCCGACTTCGCAATCACAACACCATCTAGCTCGTATCTTGTAACTCTATCATCATTACCTAACCTCAGAACTTTACATTTATCAGCATTAAACTGCATCTGCCAATCCTTTGACCATTTCAAAACCCTATCTAGATCAACTTGAAGTGATAGTGAGTCCTCCTCCGAATTAATTTCCCTACCGATTTTCGTATCATCGGCAAATTTGCAAATGTTGCTACTCAAACCTGAATCTAAATCATTTATATATATTATAAACAACAGAGGTCCCAGGACAGAGCCTTGAGGCACTCCACTTACAACATTTTCCCACTCTGACTTGATTCCATTTATACTAACTCTCTGTTTCCTTTGGTATAGCCATGCCCTAATCCAGCTTAATATAGCACCCCCAATACCATGAGACTCTATTTTTTTAATCAGTCTTTCATGTGGCACTGTATCAAAAGCTTTGCTAAAGTCAAGGTATACAACATCGCAATCCTTACCACTATCAACTGCCTCAACAATGCTAGAATAAAAAGATAACAAATTTGTTAAACATGAACGGCCATTTATAAAACCATGTTGCGACTCAATTATTAATTTATGCTTTTCAAGATGAAGACGAATTTTATTTGCTATTATAGATTCGAGTAACTTTCCCACAATAGACGTTAGGCTAATTGGTCGATAGTTAGACGCAAGTGATCTATCTCCTTTCTTAAAAACTGGTATCACATTAGCAACTTTCCAAAACTCTGGCACTCTGCCTGACTCTATTGATTTATTAAATATGGTTGACAGTGGGTCACAAAGCTCCTCTTTGCATTCTTTAAGCACCCTAGCAAACACTTCATCCGGCCCTGGGGATTTGTTTGGTTTGAGTTTTACTATTTGTTTAAGAACATCCTCCCTGGTAACTGCTAAACTCGTCAACCTGTCCTCGTCCCCACCCACATAGACTTGTTCGGCTGAAGGCATATTGTTAAGTTCCTCTTTAGTAAATACAGATACAAAATATTTATTAAAAATACTACTCATCTCTTCATCACTATCTGTTATTTGACCCGTCTCAGTTTTTAATGGACCTATCCTTTCCCTAGTCTTAGTACGATATAACTGAAAAAACCCTTTAGGATTTGTCTTTGCTTGCCCTGCTATGCGAACTTCATAGTTTCTTTTTGCTTTCCTTATCTCATTTTTAACATTTCTAACCAGTTGTACGAATTCCTGTTCTAAAGTGACCTCCCCATTTTTAATCCTTTTGTACCAAGCTCTCTTTTTACCTATAAGGTTCTTCAAATTCTTTGTTATCCACTTTGGGTCATTAGTATACGATCTATTCAATTTGTATGGTATACTACGTTCCTGTGCTTTGTTTAGAATATTCTTAAATAAGTTATATATTGAATCCACATCGAAATCCCCATTTAAGTCACCTATCGCTGGGTTCATGTCTCGCTCCAAGACCGGCCCACACCCCATACCCAAGCCTTTCCAATCAATTTGACCCAAAAAATTTCTTAGGCTATTAAAATCAGCTTTTCGAAAATCTGGCACTTTAACAGAATTTTCTCCTACTGGTCTATTCCATTCTATGCTAAATCTGATTTCTTTGTGATCACTGCTCCCTAGCTCACTCCCTATTTCGATGTCATTAATTTGCGTTTCCCTGTTAGTTAACACTAAATCTAAAATATTATTTTCCCGTGTTGGTTCCTTAATGTGTTGCGTAAGAAAGCAATCGTCAACCAATTCCAGAAAATCTTCTGCTTCACTATTCCCTGTTTTGTTCAACCAGTTTATTCCGCTAAAATTAAAGTCACCCATGACATAAATACTGTTAGATCTAGATGCTCTAGATATTTCATCCCATAGATGCTTTGCTTCCATTCTGTCTAAATTTGGTGGCCTATATATTACTCCTATTATAATATTATTAGCTTTTTCGTTTAATTCAATCCAAATAGTTTCTGTGTGTGGCTCTGTTTTGATTCCCTCTTTGAGACTACATTTCAAATTGTCCCTAACATATATGGCTACTCCACCTCCTCGTCTAATATATCTATCTGTGTGAAATAGTTTAAATCCATATATTTGATATTCAGCTAATAGTTCTCTATTTTCTACATTCATCCACGTTTCGGTAAGTGCAATAATATCTATTTTTTCTGTGCAGACAAGAGCATTTAATTCGTTAATTTTATTTCTTAGACTTCTACTGTTAGTGTAATATACCCTAAGTGAATTGTTATTTTGTGGACCTTCTCTTTCCCTGATCGTTTTGCCAATTCCTTTCTCCCACAAACACATACTTTTATTACCTCCTTCCTCCAAATCAATTCCCATACCTCTATCTACTAACAGTTTAAACCCAAACAAACACCTCTAACCACTTCTTCTAGCGAGTTCGCAACAGCAACAACCCCAGCTCTCGATAGATGCACCCCATCACGAGCATACATTTCATTTCTTCCATAGAAGTGTTCCCAGTTGTCTATGAAAGATATTGCATTTGATTTGCAATATCTTTCCAGCCGGCAATTGACACCAAGTGCCCTCGATATCCATTCATTTCCCACTCCCTTTCTTGGAAGAATGCCACATATGATCGGGATTCCTCCCTTGCTCCTAACTAACTCTATGGCTGTTTTATACCTCTGAATCAGTTCCTCACTCCTGACTCGACCAACATCATTTCCTCCCACGCTAATGCAAATAATGGGATTGTTCCCATTACCAGCCATAATATCATTCATGTTGTTTATAATATCACCAATGCCAGCTCCGGGATAGCAAACCCTTAACCTGTTCCCCCTATCTCTAGCACAAAACGTTCTATCCAAATACCTTATCTGGGAATCTCCCACAACTAATGTTTGCTTAGGTACTTCCTTTACTTTCTGAGGAGCCTGCGCTTCCTTTCTCTTCGTTGCTTTCCCTTTTGCGCGATCCACAGTCTCTCCACAGCACTCGTCCTCCAAAACGTCAAATGAATTTGAAGTTGCTATGGCGTTTGAAGGCGGCTTTATCAAAGTCTTCTTAAGGCCCCTGTCTTTCGCAACTCTCCAAGACGAGGTCCCTTTACTGCTGGTCTCCTCCGTTACTTCTCGTTGTTTTTTAAGCTGACGCACCTTTTTTAAGCTTGTGACCCACTGTCAACCATATTTAATAAATCAATAGAGTCAGGCAGAGTGCCAGAGTTTTGGAAAGTTGCTAATGTGATACCAGTTTTTAAGAAAGGAGATA